CTAGGATTTCAAATAATTTTGATAGATATAGACTGGTGGTTTTCAAAAGTGTTTCATTTTAATTCAAATTGAAATATTTTCTTAACATAAAACAGAAATTAATCATTTATAGTGTTTTGTAATGGTAACGTACTAGAAAACATCGCATGACAGGAAAAACTGTTGTTTTCACTGAATCGTATATAATTTGAAAACCCTAAAGAGATTGTCCTCGGAAAGGCATTTAATTAAGAATAAATTAATGACGGTAAGTCGGGCACAATTTCAATAAATGACGAAGTAAAATTCAAAGAAGAAAAAGGACAGTTTAGCCAACAACAACACATTTTAAATTGTCCAATAAGTCTGAATTCATTTTTATAATGATTCTGGCTCATGTTTGAATTGATTATTTATTGTTTTAATCAGCTGATGGTTTATGAGAATATGGGTAATTGGTGTTAATAATGACACTTAGACATAACAGATATTAATTTGGCTACGGTTAGGGTATATACCTGATTGTACTTTTTAAATAATTAAAAGTTTCCTTTCGAAAGCTATTCGTTATACTGTAAAGGAACATGATAGGTATACATTCGTAGTGATGACCTGTTACTGTTCATTCTTTAGCTGCCAAAGCTAGCTAAAATAAGGCTTATCTTGTCAGGTGGAATTTTCTTCCTCTTCAACAAATATTGAATTTTGCAATTCTAGAAATTCTGCAAGTTGTATTTCAGAATTCTTTCAGGCGGTTTACGATAAAATTAAGACAATAAACATGATACGCAGCCACATTGCACTTAATAATAAAAGATGTCGTCACTGTCTTAAAATAGTTGACTGTAAAATAATATAATCTTGGAGGCAATCAAGGAAACAGTCTGGATCTCATCGTATTTACAAAACGTTTGTTTGATCTTGAACAAATAGTATGTGTTATCATTTTTACCAAATTACAAAATACATATTTTTAAAATTATACGCATGTTCAATATATTTCATAATTTAAATAGATTATAAATAATCAAATCGATTTTTTTTGTAAACGTTATTGGATATGATATAATAATATAAATTATCGCTATTCTTATCCAAACAGCTGTTTTAAAATATTGCGGCATAAAATCAGTATTGTTCTGTCAGATTTAAGTTATGCAGCTGTGTACGAGTTCAATCAGACAATGTATAAAAACTTTCTTATTTCACAATTTATTCTGAACATGACCATGTGAAGTCTATAGAAATGAAATTTACCGCGGTCTGTTTTAGTTTGACTCTCTGTAAAATTTACATGGGAGAACTGAATAAATGTAAAGATTTCATTGGTCATTTTAAACTTACAATCTGAATCCGATTCGCCATAATTGTAAAATTAGTAAAATAACATAAAGGATTTTCTGATATGGTATAAGCGTCTAGTTATTGATTGGTCTAAAACAAACCCTATTGCAAGTAGAGAAACTGATAGCGAACAGCATTGGTCCTGATCAGACGGCGCGGATGGGCAAACTGGTCTGGATCCATGCTGGTCGCAAACGCATTATGTTGGTTTTGTCGTGACGCGGCTCATATGTCTATTTATCTCTACTGACGAATATTCTGGATTTTCACATTTAGTGTTATATTTTACTTCCATTTATAAAAATAGTGTTTTATTATTGTATTTTTTTGTTCCAGAGCAATGTCACAATGATTTAATGTATCCGTTTGTTTACTAATATTTCACAAATGGATTTGAATGAACTTTAATTTAAAGGTGCTTTTTCTGTAAGATAATACAGTTTTCACAAAAATCAACTCTCAAACATATCGTCTGCTGTTAAATACCATAAATGAATTTTTCATCAGTAGAGCGCTGCTTGTAAATCAATACAGAATCAAACTTTAAAAAATGCAGAATTCAAGAATATATTTGCAACAAAAAGGTTTAATGTGTGTATTGCAAGTTCTGATTTAATCCTGAATCAAATTAAAAGCTGAGTATAAAGAGTTTCTCCATTATTGCAGCAGAATGGGTAGTACCCTAGAGAACAAAACTTGATGGATTTTATACAAAAATAAATACGAACATGTTTCCCATCGTTTTACGTTTCTTTTCTTCAAATGCTCAGTTTGTCTGTGCTTTGTGGTTTGAATTTTTTTTAATTTGGTTATAAAAGAAGTTTTTAACGGACATATAAGTTTTGATAATCTTAAGTATTTAAATGTTATAAAAACAGCTAGGTAAGATATTGAACTCCCTCTGAATACTTTAAACATAATCATAAAACAGATTTTGTTTGGTTAACTATGGATTGATTTATAGATAAATACAATTTATAAGACATAATATAATTGTATTTTCTTTGTCATGGATGGTGTTGAGATTGTACCCATGCTTTCAGCAAATAAGGAACAGTCCTCGATTGAAAATGATAAGTTTTGTAATTACGAAATGATCATGAAATTATAAATAAAAAATTGAAATACTATAGTAACATATTGAAATACAAGCATAATTGCTGTGTCGCATCAACATAGTTCCTTTGCAAGAAACTTCCCATCTATATTTCAACTCTCCTAGAATTTACAAACTAAGTGTTTGTCGTCACAGTTTTCAGATTGCATAATTTTTTACCTTCCTATGTCTTGTTTTCTTTTCCAGACAAGATTTTATACAAGCCCTTCTAAAGGACTATGACAGTAGAATTCCTCCAAACTTTGAGAAAGGTATTGTTATATTTTTCCTGTGATTTCTTTAACACATTTAAGCCTCAACAATAATGTTTTGATAATCAAATTCAATTAAACAGACAAGTGTTTTAGTTATTTACTTTAAAGAAATAAGGAATGATAACAGTAGAATATAATACAATACATTTAGTTATTGACTTAAAAGAAATAAGGAATGATAACAGTAAAATATAAAACGATACAATACATTAAGTACAAGCAATCAATGGACGAATGGACCCTTTTTAAACTTAGAACACATGCAATCAAAACAGAGGGAAAAACTGAATGTTATCAAGAAAATGTTGATACTATGCTGGAGCTATTTATTATCTTTTTTATTCTATATTTCATTTTGTTTGGGGAGGGAGGGGATAATCATGATGAAAATCGGACGTCGTACAGCCAACAGCAAAAAGTTTGGTCAGAATGCACGAACGTGCAGTCTGTCTTGACACTATATTCATGGCACATAGCAATCATTTTCGTTCTAACAGACTATTGGTTAATATTCTGAACGTTAAAATTCAAAACGTTTGTGTCCAATTTTATGTAATTCGTTCTTTACATTTTTGAAAAAAAAACAAGTTTTTCAAATAAAGTTGCAATATGGCACATAGTTTGTTAATATATGAAAGTGTTCAACGAAATAAATTGTCATGAATTCACACATCGACTTTAATAGAAATCAATTTGAATGAAGATGTTTGACAAGAAACATTTGCTTGAGCCAATAATCGCCCCTCAGTGTTGTTGTTATATTATTATTTAATAAGTTTCTTTTTATCAATTATGCCAATACTGCTGAAAACTGCTTCGTCCGATACCAAATGTCTAATGTTGCAAATACAATGTTTTCATTGTCTCCCATGAGCACACACGAGCCAATTAGGCCAGCACTGTGGTTCTGCCAATTCTGCTGTCATCCGCATGATCTACAAATTCCCGAATTTTTAATGTTATTAAGATGATAAAATTTACATTCCTACTGATCAATCTCTTCGAAAGTCTTTTCTCGAAAAAGGCCTTTTGCTCTTTGTAACTTTCCTCTTTTAATAGCCTCAAAGTTTTCACTCGCGATGCTGTTGGACAACGTTTATCTTACATCCACTTTCTCCCCTAAGTTAGAATCGTCTTGCCATTAGTGTTGCCATTTTTTAGATTTTTATTGTGGGATATAAATGATATTTCTTTAATCTTTTAAAATTTGATAAGCGCAAATTCTAATACAATGTAGATGAAATTACGTTGTTCTTCTCATGATATAAATTGTAAAAACCCGAGGTAAGCCAAAATCATCTTTCCTTTTTTTGGCGCCACATGACCTAAATTGTGTCAGTGCGCCGTAAAACAAATCAAAACAAACAAAAACAAAGTGTGACAAAATTCAAACAAAAAAATTTAAACTGCAAGCAGTAGAGATATTGTTTAATTTACTTTAATATTTAATACGTTTTGCAGTTAACCTTACTGATTTTGTTCAGGTAATTTTTTTTATTTGTTTGATACTACAGACTTTGTTTTGTTTGGTTTTACGGCACACCAACACAATTAAGGTCAAATGGCACCAGAACAGACATGTTGATTTTGGTAAACCTCGTGTGTTACAAACTTTCAGCTACAATAGGGGTCACAACCACCTCACCTGCTGGATCATACAAACATAGACCCCAATAAGTCGAACCAATTAAATCGCATTTTTCGAACACGCAGGGCTAAACGGTGGACTCAACACATAAAGGCAACCCCTTGACCACAAGGTGTTGTTAAATATATACATAGCATAAAAATATATACACTTTGATTCATAGATCTAATTCAACGAAACCGATCATTAATAGGACTTTATTAAGATTGAATTCGACAGGAATGGAAATAATTTTTCGACATTTATGTTCGAGTTGAAATTAATCTTGCCCAATAACTTTTGTGAAAAATTTCAGATAAAAATGACTCCAAAATGAAAAGCGTTGCAACGCTTTTTACTCAAAAATGGGCTACGAACAAAACAATTTTTAATTCATTTCTTATCATATTGGTTAATTACCTTTCGCATATCTTGCTGTTTCAAGTGCCCCACGTGATCTAGGTAATAAATCAGATATTATGTGTTTTTTGCTTTTGACCTCAGTGGAGTTCCTTTAATTTTTCCTTTTTAATCTTATTCAGAAAAGAGAAGATTATCTTCTGGTACTGTTGCTGGTGCTTTGACGTTTTAACTTGCGCTTACACACGTTTTCAATCTTATGCACAGGAGTTTAGATAATTCCCTGCACTTTTATTTACTATCCTTCTATTACAGATTACCCATGTGAAGTCAATGTTAGCCTTTATATCAACAGCATTGATTCGATAGATGAACAAAAAATGGTACGGTTTTCTTTGTTTACTTTGTTATCATGCAAACAAATCATCTTTCCTTTAGGTCGCTCTGTGCATTTGACAGCTTAATTGAAACAACAAGTCCAAATAAGATTCCTGTATTTGTTTTGAATATTGATGTTTTATGTAAATATTTGATTTATTTGATGACAATTTCTGGTGACAGACAAATGAGACTTAACTTACATTTCTGCAAGGGCAAACTATTTCGTCACTACTTAACATTCTTTCATTACCATTTCTTATTTGCTAAACTTTTATCATGCAATATTTTGTTTTTGTCGTCAGTTTTTATATATTCTGAACAAAAAAAAGTGCCAATAGAAAAATTCGTGTAAGAAAAGAGGAAAATGAAAACAAAAAAAGGTTGACTGTATGAAACACATCGTTGCATACTGCAGGATTGTTATTTACATTGTTCAAACTTATTTGCATTTAAGACATACGCTTGGATAGCATATAGTTATTAGCATAATGAAAACTATAGTCAATTTAAATTTTGTTTGATGTCAAAATATATAAATAGAAACAGTTTAAGCAAAAACAAATTTAGGTTCAATCTCTTTTTCAGGTTATGTGTCCCTGAATTAAAAACAATTTTTAATTGCTTATTTGCAGATAATGCTAGATTCAGGCTAGCATGTCTATTTTTCTTCAATTTTTTGTGATTTATCCTCGTTTTCAAGTAATCTGACCTTGTATTTGAAAAGAAACAACAAAAAGACAGAATTACTTATTTGCAAGTAACGACAGAATTAAGTTAGCATGCCGATTTTGTCTGCAATTTATGTAACTGACTTCCATTGTTGTGACTGATAGTGTAAAATACAACATTGGTTATGTGTATTTTATGCTTCTTCTTTACCTAAACTTTACCAATTTTCTTAAACAAATTGACTGTTGGTTTTTTTTTAAATTTCAGTCTCCGTTTTTTATTTACAAGTTCCACAAATGTGTGATTCGATTAAAAACGATCATTTACGTTCGACTCAACAGTAGGATTACCTGGATAGAATCTTGACTAGATTACCTTGACATGATCATCAAGATCACACGTTATCTAATCCGAAACAATCGGTAACGTACAGATAAGTAAGAAACGTAATGATACAAAAACCACGACCCTATGCAATTATGTTTAGGTCAAATAAAATCTTAAACGCAACAGCCCTTATGACTGAGTCCGTGACCAAAAACCAAAAACCGTCCTTTGACTCGTAACTGTGGGAACATGGCATTATGTAGAGGATATTTGTTTAGTTCAGTGTAAGATCGAAATATATTTCACCTTGTGAACACCAAAAGTTCATATTTCACTCGTGGCGCGCAGCCACGAGTGAAATATGAACTTTTGGTGTTCACAAGGTGAAATATATTTCAATCCTACACTTATCTAAACAAATTTTCTTTTTATGCAAAGAAACGTTTTAAAAAGACATTAAACTTAAAACTGAATGAAAAGCGCGCCAAATAATAATATAACGTGACGTCATTTACGAAGTCACGTCATTAAATTGGTACCCAGTACTGTAAACGCTGGTATTTCACTAAAACAACGTAAGGGATAAAAGTTCAAAACAGTGAAATTGTCAAAGTGGTAATTTCACTGTTTGAAACAGTGAAATTACCAGTTTTATATCACTGATATATTTCTATAAACCACCGAAAAACATGTAATAAAAATTTATGATCCTGACAAAGTATACAATTTATTTCAGGATTTCACCTTAAGTACATTTGTTAGCCAGGAGTGGATCGATACAAGACTTAGTTTTAGAAATCTTATACCTGCGGATTACCTCGAACTTGATTCTCGGTTGATGGAAAATGTTTGGGTTCCAGACTTGTATGTTCGCAACGAGAAGCAAGCGTATTTCCATACTGTCACTATTCCGAATAAAATGTTACATATTTATAAAAACGGTGTTGTGAAGTACAGATCCAGGTAACTACTAGTTATTGTAAAAAATGATAGATATCTTTTCACAAATTGACACTTCAAAATTATAAGCAACGTTTCTCAACATGGTTTGAATCATCTACCAAGATAATTGAATGATGTGTTTGTCATTCTATGTATATGGGGAAAAACCATTGCTTTCAATCAGACATTACGGGACATACAACAGTTTGTTATTTTTGTAATAATTGAGGCTAGAACTACTTAATCTTAAACTTGATTTAATCCAGTTCTAATATTCTTATTGTGTTCCAAAAACAATTTTAAACACAATTGTAAAAATAATCACATTTGAAATTAATTATTAGACATAAGTACTTTATTTTTGATATGATATGTTTTTACAGAATCACTTTGACAGCTTCTTGTCCGATGAAACTACACAAATATCCTATGGATAGACAAATGTGCTCGTTGTTTATACAAAGCTGTAAGTTCCAAAGAACGTTAGGCTTTACCTGTTGAAATATTCCATATTCGTATTGTCAGCAAAAGAGTTCTTTCATAAAACTTTCATGAAAATATAATGTTCTCTAAAATAAAAAATTCATTGGGAACCGATTCGCAAAGAGTTTGGGCTTGCGCAAACTTTTACAAACATAATTCGTTCATTTTAAATGCATAGGTATGACATTTAGCAAGATGCAACAAAAATGACTCATTCCAATTGTCTAAAGTATTATGTCCCGAAAGTAATAAAAAGACATGAAACAGAATAATTTCGTTTAAATTTAAATTAGATGTTTATTGAACAATTAGTTGTTGCAAAAAAAAGTATAAATGTTTCAATTGGTTTATTGTATTTAAACATTGAAGTGGTCGTTAACATATGCATCTTAGAAAAAGCCAAATATATATTTTAGTTGCCTTTACAACAAATCGTTTGGTATTTCGTTGGCGGGAAATGGAACCTATACGAATGAATCCGAATCTCGAATTGCCTCAGTTTACACTGTATAGACTTGAGACTGAAAACTGCACAGAATATGGAGAAGGTGAGGAATTAGATAAGCATTTAGGTATGATACAAAATCTGACGATTTACAATGTTTCTGTAAAAAATGGTTTCGTAAGTTTGCAAAAGGTTTTGTCTAAAACATTTTTTCATATAGTTTAGAGAAAAATAGAATCCCAAAAGAATGTTTAAAATGACAATGCTAGTTTGATTGAGCCTGTTGAACAGTACATGGAAAGTGCAAGTTACCTAAATGTTAAATTTTGCTAGGAGGCGTGGACGGTAGTTTGCACTTAACAGTACCGTCCATTAACATACTCTATCAAACCGAGCCTGCAACATGTTCAATTTTTCCGTTTTGGCATTTCTTTAGGGATTCATATTTCAACTCCCCTAGGATTAGATAAAGCAGAAGTCAACATTTAAAAATGTAATTGTGAATTTTTAAATTTAGAAACATCCGCAGATGTACTGAACATATTACACAGTTAATTTATTTTACATATACATATACATCAGCACTGCCATTAAGACAGAACAAAGTTACAAATATTGTTAAAATGATCACGAAAAATTAATTACTTTTATTTTGTATCCTTCTCTGAAAAGCATTTTTGATGAAGATTAATATAATTTAAATAGAGCTATTGGAAATGTATTTACCTTTGTTTTCAGGCAATACCTGCTTACAATTTAATATATATCTTGAAAGAAACATTGGATTTTATATGATACAGACATATATTCCGAGTGTACTCATTGTAATGTTGTCATGGTTATCGTTTTGGCTAAATGTTGATGCCGTTCCTGCTCGGATCTCCTTAGGCATACTCACTGTTCTTACAATGACAACCCAAAGGAGCATGTCCAATGCTTCGCTACCAAGAGTGTCTTATGTAAAGGTACTTTTCAACGTTGTGATACGTCAAAATTTTACTTAATTCAATTCTACTCTCTTTTAATAAAAGAAATGGTACCATCAAATTAGATAATATTCAAGTGCTGATACTTATCTTAATTAATAAAAAAATAATCTTTTATAAGGTTATTTTACAGCTTTCTCCTGTAGTGTAGTGTTTATTACAAAGATACATACCACTTTTGCTATTATTTATCAAGTGCATTCATCACTTCATAAAATAATTAAGTTCATTATAATATTGTTTTATCTTTTTTAATAGGCATAGTTACGTTTGTGTTACAAACACTTTCCGTTTGATTTTCAGGCCATTGATATATGGATGGCCGTTTGCCTTTGTTTTGTTTTTTCTGCTCTACTAGAGTACGCATGCGTCAATGTCATAGCTCGAAACCAGCTCAGACGGAGAATACGAAAGGAAATAAGAGATCATCAGAATGGTATACAGGAACCAAGAAATGGTCTCGTAAGTTTGAAAAATAATGCTGCATTTCACAATAATGTTATTTAGCCTAAGTTCTTGAAGATATCCGTTATCGTACTTTTATATTCATCACTTATCACGGTTGTTGTTGCTCGCATAGGTTCCTTCAATTTTTGATATATAACTACATACTCCGTATTATTGACTTAAACACCTATTTTGTCACTGAAACAGTACTTTTTTCCTTCATATAAATATCACTCTTCTTAATTTCTTACTATGATATTTTGATTTCATTGCTCTTTGGTGATAATTAAGCAAAGTCATGCTCTTCAGTATTGTTAACGGATTCACCTGATGCTACACCTATTTATATAGTACTGGTGGATTTTAGATGTATATCGGTACTGCTTCGTGTGTTTCAATGTTCATATATTCAATTAAAATTCATTTCAAATTTTACACCGTAAACAATCATTTATCTTTTAAGTACACACTTCGAGTAAGGATATAATATCATATTAAGAATTACTTCTTGTTATTGACTTATTGGGGGTGGTTATTAACAACTTGATGTCTCAGTCACAGTGTGCGTGCGTGCGTGTTCGGTTAGGTTTGCTTATTTTAAGATGTTTAATTTTTTAAGACATTTAAACATAAGATTATCTTAATGCGTAGAGTCTTTAAAGGCTTTAGGTTTCGCAAAAAAACTATGTATTCAAGTTGCATATCACGACGTTGTTTTCGGATTGTGATATCTTCAGCAATCAGAATTTAAGATGTCCATGAAAAGTACGCTGTGTTATATTGTTTCTATATATTTCAGATAGGTGGATTACTGATAAAGCGATCACGTGACAACGCCCAGAATGTAGATGATGTATGTAGAGTTGTGTTTCCAGTGACTTTTATGGTGTTTTGTGTTGTTTATTGGAGCTGTTATCTAACAATTCGTTAACGGTGGTGTCTTTTGAGCACAAAGATACTTACATGAACACTAGCACGGTTGTTTTTTTTTGTTGTTGTTTTTTTTTAATCCCAAGAAGTAACTCCGTTTATTGTCTCTGTAATAGGTAAAATAGGGTCGGGAATCCATCCACTATATTACCTTACAATTTATTATAATGTTACAAAAAACATAAGGGCATTTATATCATACATAATTTTATAATATATACAATTCACAGAAGATAAATGTTTTCTTGGGATTCGGAGTATTTCATTTCCACAAAAACAAAAACTGGATATAATATACTCAAACTGTAATATGTAAGTAGTTACACGGTTGTTACCTATCTGTAGATATACGCGTATTAATAACATAATATCCTATATTGAATGAAAACATGTCGGGAAATAAAGTATAAAAACTGAACAAAAAGTAATAAATGTCATATGCACGTTTTGTCTGTTTGCTCTGTTTTTTTTGTTTTTGTTTTGTATTTGTTGTTTAAATTCAGAGTGACAGGTTGTACAACTATACTAACATTTAATTGAGATATGCATCCTAAAATATTTACTGTTATAGACAAATTAAATATCAATTTAAGCATATGTAAACATAAGCATCAACTGCCTTATTCAAAATAAATATTGTAAACTGAAGTGGTCATTCTTTGTTTAAATAGAACAATTTTTACACCGTTTAAGTATCATCAATAACATTTCTTTTACAAAAATAATGCATTTGTTTCTAAATAATTTCTACGACTGATTTTATTGTTTTAAATACGTTTTAACACCGGTTGTTTTATTTTCAAGTACATTGCCTGACGTAATAATAGTTTTGTCTGATCATACATACCTCGTTTACTCACTATCGCTGTGTTACATGCATATACTTGTATATGTGTTATGACGATGAACCTACGTGTTCGGGCCATTTTTTTACTGAATAAACTTGTTCTGTTCTGTCTACCTTAAATGTTTAAGTATCTGCACAGCACTTTGGACACATTAAATCTTGTTAATTTTTTAACAAACTAATGATATATAAAAATTACATGTACATTTTAATTCTAATTTAAGACAATATGAAAAAAACTACTGTACAAGTTCAAAATGAAGATGTAGGTACACTGTTTGGGATAAAAGCAATTTCAGTAATGATTTGTTTCAGAAACGATGACTTTAAAATGTATAATACATTGTGTTGTTTCTGTTGTTTTATTTTTAAGAAAAACGACTGACAATTGCTTTTTAAAATTTATCTAAAAATATCAAGTCTTGATATTTTTAGACCGTCCGTCAAAAGTAATGGAAAAATATATTTCAATATACCGTGCGTCATCTTACATTAGAAGCTGTATACAACCTTCAACACAATAATTTGAAAGTTATTTCATTATTGATCCATAACCTCTGATCCGCTTTCCAAATTCCGTTTTATTTACTTCCGCCCATTGTTTTCTCCTTAATAGCAACATTTTAAAACACATGTTAGGATTTGCTGTATTCATTTCTGAGGGATTGTGTGCCTTAAAAAGTTATACTGTATAAAAAGGTTTCTCATGAGAATATTAACATTACATTTACCTTCTCTCTTTATAAAATAATTGAACAAAATTGTTTAACCACTTTTTATATTTTCTTAAGAATACCTTTGTTTTTCACTTGTCTGTAATTTGTAAAATATGTTGTTGTATAGTGTCGATATTACAATCAATGTTTAATGCATAGCAAAACGAATGTGTTAATACAAATATGTTTTCGGAGACTAAGTAAGTTGTGTTTACAGATGTCAGTAAACGTTATGCACGACAACAAGAGTAATTTTGACTATTTGCTTAGTTGATTTTTTTTTTGTTAAAAAAAATGTCGCTTAAAAATTGTGTGAGTGTAATGTTATATTAAATATTTATGCACCTTTAATTTAAATTATATTGGGAGTTGACTATAAAAAGGGTTTGCTGTTAACAATCTGAAACTAAACTAGTATCATGTTGATTAATTTTGTTTCACCTAATATTAAAAAAATGACAGGCACAAAAAAAACACGCACTGTGACGAAGTAATGCTTAAATCTTTAGTTATTTTCAGAAATTTTTGAATTAAAACATGATTTATTGTTAACCGTTAATGAATTCTACTTAGATAAGTTAACGTGTTGGTATTGAAGCTGTCTTCACCAGCTTTTGAGTTATGAACATGTCATTCATTTGTAATGAAAAATGTAATTGATAATTACTCTATAACCTCACTCTTTTCTGATAAATTGTCACATACTTTTGTCACAGTTTGTATGATGTATGTCATCATACAGACATTAGCAAAGACTTTTTAACTACGGAAACGTGAGGTTACAATGTCGTTACAATACGGTTTTATGTTCACATAGTAAACAGGCAACTTTAAGCTGTAAATACAAGTTCAGAAATTTTAACTTCCAAAACCGTTTAGATAAGGGTGAAAACTTTTACACGTATAAATTGATACATTATAATAACTAATCATGAGAAATTAATGTCTTAGTTGAAGACACAGATAATGAATGATACAAAGTTTGGACCCACACATGAACATATGAATAGTTGCATGGTTTATTTGGATTTGACGAGATTTTCATTTTTTATTTTGACATGAAACACAACAGCTTTCGTTAAATGGCGGTCCTTTGCCGAATTGAGGTTTTAAATCAATCGAATAAATAAATAAACTAAATTTTGGGGATTAAATGTTTTTGAACAGTAAAACAGCCGAGTTCAATTAGAAATTCATATATATTTATAAACATCCTTCTTACAATCTACTATTACACTTATGCGCATATGAGAAGCTGCTGCAATGTGCTTGTTGTTGTTTAAATTTTTTACGAGGAATATTTAATATGAATTCATGGTACATCCTGGATTTCAATTATTATTTTTATGCTTGCTCTCCTTCCAAGTATTTGCCCCAAACAGTTATACCAAGTCTCAGTTTTCTGATTCAATTCTTAAATTCATTGCTGTAGCTTTTTCTATGTTTAGCATGAAAATATTCGGTGGATAAATGTTCGACTTAAATGTTTTTTTGTTTTGTTTTTTCATGAAACATTTTAAATTTTGCCATTTTGCTTTGAATTCCAAAGTTTCAAATGTATATATTTTATCAAATATGTTGAAATTCGAACATAACATATTATAATCCGTTGATTAACATCCGTCATATACACTACTAAGACACGTATCATATCTAATGTACTTAATGAATTAGCCGCTGACACCAGATTCATTTGGTAATAAACGTGTCTTAGAGAGCACAATGTAAAATCTTTTTAACTCGTTAACCTCACGTCATTTGATAAGTTGCTATACGCTCTTGTCACAGTTTCATGTTGAATGTTATCAAAAAGACATTAACAATGACTTTATAACTACAGAAATGTCAGGTTCAGGTGAACAGTTTGATGATTGATTATAGCATTATGCTTTGTAGCTTGCTAAGCACAAGAAAAAAAACTCGAACAATTTTACCATCGCTTTGACATTGATTTGCCTGAAAACTGTGTCACAAATGCACTTATGAAATAAACTATTCTGAGGAAATGTTACCATAGTTACATAACTAAATCATGTTTTCAAATTAAATGGCTTCACAACATTTGAAGGGTATTACATTGATTTTATGTTCAACTTACAAATTGTGCTGTAATTTGTGTAATTTTGCTCTTTTTAATGCTTCCGAGGGATCACTTCTTTCCAGATATTCACTGTTTTATACTTGCTGTAAAATTTCAGGATTACCTATCATGAAACACATTCATCCGAATTATTACGTTCCGTGCTGTTATAGATTATTACGTAAAAGGAAACATTTCTTTTGGGACTTCAAGACATACAGGAAAATCTAAAATAAAGTCTGAATTTACAAATTATCAAAGGAAACACATTAAAAGAAGTACATGTTGATTTCGATTTGACGAAATTTTCCATTTACAATCCTTTGACGTTAAGTACAATTACATTGGGAATATTGGGGAGTAGTACTTCTTTTATTTGTTTAAAAATGTTTGACTTAATCTTATAAATAAACCTAAATATCAAGATTAAAATTGAAAAAAAAAACAATTGATTTCAAATATGATCATTTAATAAAAATAATGCACAGGAGGGTACCCGCCTGAAGTCTTCCTTCTACCTGTTAGACTGGAAAGTCGCCATATAACCTCATATGTGTTGATGCGATGTAAAACCCAGCCAAAAAAAAAATAATTATCATATGCAAATATTGTTGCGACTTAAATGAGATCTCAGATGGAAGTTTGGAAAAAATTGCATGTTTGTAATGATTTATTTGTCAATGGACAGCCATGGTGCACCATTTAATGACCCTGTCACTGGCCTAAGCAACATTATTTCTTAAACATGGTGTCCTTTACATCTTTTCAATCTAATTTATGAAAAGCAAATAATTTAAAGAAGGAAAGAAACTAAATTGAATATAATTTTGAGAGATTAACAGATATCACGAAGCCATTTTAAATTCCACTTATCCAAACAAATACATAAAAAGTATAATATTATGTATTTTTAAAAGGTTACACAGTGTGTCTGTGGAGTAAACCTTGCTGCACGGTAAGTGTCACTAGGTGAGTCATGTAAATAACCAATATGTTAAAGATAGCAATAGTCAAAATACAATTAAATAAAATATCATGTTTTGTCTGTATATGGACTGCCAGCCTATTGTCGTCTGCATAATCATTTTAATTTTACGGGTTGCTATGACGCTTTCCTCTTCTCCAAACGAGAATATCTGTGAAAAAAATCAGTCAACCCAGTGTTTTATAGGAATGTCTAAACCAAAGGTACTGTAAATAATCGAGTTAGCTGTGTCAGGCGGATATTTCATGGTTAAGACAAATATATCTCAGTTTTACAAAGACCTTTAAAAAATATCTGGATAAAGGATGTCCCATTTACATGTTATCAAATAAAATACGGTACCATATGTCAGACACGCCGTGATGTATGAAGCTTAATCTATTTTTCTCCTTTTAAATGACCTCATTTTGAATTAATTGGGTGTTGTGAAGAGTCATTTTACAGACAACCTCTGTGAAATGTAATTTTGTCACGTAGACGTTAGTGGTATTATTTGTCTCTTTGCTTCATTACGAATGAATAATTCTATTTCTTGGCCCGTAATTTATATAACATTGAATGATAAGTTTAGATCTTTTTAAGCAAATAGAAATATATGGCGACAGATCATCATATTCAATTACTCATCAAACACATTTTGCTTTCATTATTCTTAATCACACAATGCCTCTTGACAACAATAAACACATCAAAACAAAACTGACAAAACAAATACATTCA